CAGACAGAAGCTTCTGCAAAGAGAAAGAGTCAATAAGTGGTCAGAGAGGAGAGCTTGCCTCATGGGAGGCTGAGTGCTGAGTGTTCTCCACGTTTTGCAAGCATGTTGGAAGAGTCCAGAAAATGATGCTGGGATGGAGGCCTTGGAGGAAAGCTGAGGGGCAGACCAGGGCCAGGTGGAGAGGTGCCCACTTCTCAGGGGTTGAAAAGGCCTGTAACAGCAAGAAGGGCCGGGATCCAGAGCTCAGGTTACAGCAGGAGAAAGCCCACCTCTGCCTGGATGCCTATGAGAGATGTTGCTGCAGTTAACCTCCTGGGTAAGGTGAGAGCAAGCCTGTAACTGAGCTCTTTCCAGCCCGGTCTCTGCAGAGGAGCTACCATCCGCAGAGAGACTCCCGGCTCCAGAGAAGCCAACCCACTGGGCCTGCACACTGGGGCAGGCAGGGCGGGAAATCAGAAGGGAGAAGCTGGGGATGCCCCAACCACTCCCAGGGGCAGGGGCTTAGAGAATAAGCTGCTTCTGAAACTCTTGTCTGTTGGTGGGATATGAGCCTTCGATAGCACAATCTAAAATCTATTCTTATAGATTTCTCTAATAGTTAATACAACGTATCACAGAACATTTAGAAAATACAGAATCACAGATGCTAATTACAAACCACGTGTACTGCCCTGGGACCTAACTGGTATCTTACTTTAGATATAGTTTGAGACCTTTTTTGTTTGTTTGTTTTCCCAATTCATGTCGTAACACGAGAATTTGCTAGTCTTCTTTCACACATACCATAAGAGATTGGGTAATCTACTTCGTCGTGATACCACCTTGGAAACCTAAGGAGGGGTCACTATGTGTTGGATCCAACTTGATGGCATGAGTTTGGTTTGGTTTTGGTTAATGACTACCTAAATATTCATTGTATAAAATGCATAAAATTTAGCTGTAGCAAAATTTATTGAAGTAATTTTCAGGTGCTCCTGCAGATTCTTTGCTACTTAAATGAGAACCATATTGAGCTACCTCACCTTTCTTCCAAGACTCAGTTCAATTCCCATCTCCTCCAGGAATACTTCCTGGACTACTACAACAACCAGCACCATCTCCCACCCCCAAATTACAACAACCCGTGACCTGCCCAACATGGCTTAGCACAGATCCCATGTGTCATTCACTGCTCTCTCACAGGTGGGGGGCTGGTTTTGGATACAGGACTCTACTGCACACATCCCTGGAAGCCCCTCCCAACCCCGTACACAGCAGGTGGCCAATACATGCTGACTGTTTAGAGCCAAGGCTTCTCAGGTTGTGAGCCTGAATGGCTCTACTTTCCCAAGGGCCAGAATTGCAGGTGCCCACAGTGGCTGACACAGGAACTTTGCTTCTTCTCTGTCCTGTCTCATCCAGATGTGTGAAATGCTAGAGAATAACAGAGGATGGAGAGAGGAATTCTGACCAGAGGAGTGAGGGGCAGCTTCATGAGCAAGGTGCTGTGAAAAGTGGATTCCAGGAGGCAGCAGCGAGGGCAGAAGCAAGAGAGGCTACCTCTGTAGCATGGGGTGGTAATGAGGGATGGTGACCAGCGGACAGAGAGCCTTGAAGGCCATGCTAAGGAGTCTGGAATTCAAAGCCTATGCCCCAGGGATTGCAAACCCAGGGGCCTCCACAGGCCAGGAGGGCGTTCCCTGTGAACTGAAGTGTGGCTGCCCTGCCTGGGGGTGCAGTGTGCAGGACACACTCCCCTGCACTCCCCTGGGGATATGCCTACCTTGGAAGGCAAGGCAGGCCCTGGTTGCCGCCAGACCACCTCTGTGCCTGGGATTGGGACCCCAAGTGTCTCCCAACCATGCTGCCATAGGGTGTGGGGGTGGATGGTTGGTGATAGTGACATCATCAGCACAGCAAAGCTCAAATTAATTCATGGAGATGAGTAAACCCTTTAGCCATGGGTGGTCTTGGCCAAAGCTTGTGATCTTCATGTGGATGTGACTCAGTCTTTCAAGTTAGGTTAAAACAATAGGGGAACTTTCTACATCTTAGCAAACTATATATACAGTAAGGCATCAATTAGGTCCTGGGTGATACAAGCAATTTGTGATCATCTGGTAAACTGGATGTTGATGGTTTGAATCGATTATATTAAATATATATGAGTATACGAGTTGATTCCAATTCACAGCAACCCCCATTGGGTTTCCGAGGCGGTAAATCTTTACAGAAGTAGATTGTCCCACCTTCCTCCTGTGGAGGAGCTGGTAGAGTTTGAAACGCCAGCCTTCTGGTTAGCAGTCAAATGCCTTAGGTACAGTGCCACCAGAGCTCCTTTATTTTATTAAATATATGTATATAACCAAAAACCAAACCAAACTCACTGCCATCAAGTCGACTCAACTCACAGTGACCCCTCCTGGGGTTTCCAAGGTGGTATCTCTACGGAAGTAGACTGCCCAATCGTCCTTCTGAGGAGCAGCTGGTGCGTTTGAACCGCCAGCCTTCTGGTTACCAGTCAAATGCCTTAGGCACTACACCACCAGAGCATATATATGTAGGAAGTAAAACAAGATGCAAACAGGAGTTAGAAGATATGATTCTACATTTTCTAAGAGAAATGAGCTGCTTATTCCCTGTGGTGGTCTCTCCTGCCTGTCCCCACTGCTGCCTCCAGGAAGCCGCTCTCCACAGCACCTCACCCACAAAGCTGCCCCTGATTCCTGTGATCAGAAATCCCTCTCCCTGCTCTGCTACCCTCCAGCCCCGACAGCACTTCACATATCTGGATGAGAATGAGCTGCAGATATGCCCACATCTCCTCTAGCTGTTTTAAGGCAAGGGCAGGGGATTCACTGGCTGCCTGGGTGGTACAGTTTGTGCTCAACAACTTAACCCCAAGGTTGGAGGTTCAAATCCACCCAGAAGCACCATGGAAGAAAGGCCTGGTGATCTACTTTTGAAAAATCAGCCACTGAAAACCCTATGGAACGTACTTCTACTCTGACACACATGGGGTTGCCATGAGTCAGACTCACTCCAAAGTTTTGTTGATACGCACTGAAACCTCCATTTGAAGGCAATGTGACGCTGACTCAGCCAAGACCTGGTTGCCTGACACCTGGGGGAAGTATGCAGGTTGGGGAGAGGTTGGACTTAGGCCCCACCCTCAACTCTTGAGGATTAAGAAAAATTAAAAATAATAGCTGCCATTTATTGAGCTCACTACATGCCGAGCACCTTATAGACATTACAATTATTCCTAACCTTCCTGACCAAACAAATACAATCACCATCCCCATTTATAGATAAGAAACCGAGGCCAGAGAGGTTAAACAACCTGCTAAGGTACCAGACTAGTAGGTGGTAGAGTGGAGATTCAAAGCCAAGTCCATGTAACCTGAAGTCTGGCTCTCAACCATCATTTTGGTAGTAGACAGACTTGAATGCTGGGTAAGGACAACTGTAACAGTGACAGATGTAAGACTCCAGAATTCCTTTACTAAAGGGTCACAGTCACCAGTGTACAACTTATGGCTCGCCTCAGAGACCTCCTTCCAAAACAAACAACAACTTGATCAAGCTAGTTTGCTGATAGAGGACATGCGTCTTCCACCTTCCAGCTAACAGCTCTGTGCTGTCTGGGGAGGCCCCTCCAGGGGCCCTGAATGAGTGCTACCAAGGAGGAAGAGAGCAAAGGGAGAGTGCGGTGGGGCTGAGAGCTTCCCGGGAGAGGTGGTGACCAAGCTCATCCTGAAGGCTGAGCGTCCTTCCACTTCTGGGGCCATCACTCCCTTCCTGGAGCCCACATTCCAGACACACCTGGCAAATGGCTGCTCACAGAAATGCTCTATTTTTCAGTCTCTGGGTCTTTGCTTTAGCAATGACTCCACAGAAATGCTCCTTTGTGAGACAGACAGATGTCCACCCCTCACACACACACACATACATACACACACACACTCACCTATCCACCAAATTTCTCTGTCTGTGCCTAAAGCCCAACTCAGATCCCACCCATTTCATCTGTACAAGACAGAACTGTGCTCCCTCCTCTTGGTCCCCACAGAATGTCTATGGCTCTGCTCAGCACACACATACAAACACACATGATAACTGCACTGTATTCCCTGCCACCCTTACACATGGCGGGCAGTCAGTAATTATCTGCTGAATCCAATGAAGGAGGATGGCTTGCTGAAAGGCTTGGAATCTTGTGTTAATTGCATGGGCTAAAGTGCTATGAACAAAGCAAAAAATATGTGCCACAATTCAAGCAAAACTGTGGAGCGCAAAGAGACTTCCTGGCTGAGTGATCTCAGAGAAGCCCCCTTTGCTGCCAATTTGCCATCTTCTCATCTGAAGGCCCAGGTGAATCATGCCTGGTAGGTATCATTCATCATAGGAAGGTGGTGAAGATGAAATAAGATAGTGTTCAGAAGCACCCAGCACTGGGACTCAGCAAGTGCCCACTTCTTATTTTCACTTGGCCCAAGGGTGGACACACATACACACACAGCCATAAACAATCCAATCCAGTCTCAAGCAGACAGGCCCCAGATGGGCAGAACTCCATCTGTGCTTTTCAAACCTTATTGACCATGACCCATAAGAAGTCTGTCTTACAGTGGAACTCGGTATACAGAAACTAAACATTATCATTGTTGCTATGTGCCACTGGGTCACTTAAACTCATAGTGACTCCATGACAGAGCAGAACTGCCCCACAGGGTTTTCCCAGCTCTAATCTTTATGGAAGCAGATTGCCAGGTCTTTCTCCCATGGAGTGGCTGGGTGGGTTCAAACGGACAACCATTTAGTTAGCAGCTGAGCACTTAACTGTGTGTGCCACCAGGGCTCATTACACTAAATATAATTGCAATAAACACTTTCTTCATGACAAGGGCAAGATACATGCTGATAATTCCTCTCATTTTCCTATTTCACTTCTAAACTGATCCCACAAACCTCTACCAGGGAGCCAGCCCCACAGTTGGCACAGCCCTGGGCTCACTCACCCAGGGTGTCAGAGCCGCTCTCCACCGTCTCATTGACCTTCCGCGCAACTCTGGCCACAGCCTCCCCCATCTTCTTCAGCATGCAGACGCAGGTGTCCTTCCGCCAGCCCCTGGGCTGGGCTGCTGCTCACAAGGGGGCCTCCGCCTGAGGAAGACGCAGGGCCATGAAGCACCCACCAGCCATGGGATCCACGCATGTGTCCACACCTCACACGTCCTCCTTCCCAGGGTACCCAGGCTGCCAGGAGGGCCCCAAGCTACTCACCTCCTCCTGTGGGGCCCAGAGCCCAGCCCATATCCAGCACAGCCTTAGGAGCAGGCAGTCTGCCTGTCAGAGGATGGGGACAGTCAGGCCCTACAGCTTTCCTGGAAGGATGGACATGTGTGACTCATCAGACACGGGGCCTGGCCTGGATGGGTAGCCAGTGGGGGTGAGGACTCAGGTGTGTGCTGGCCTGTGACTCACTCACCAGGCAGAGCAGTGGCAGGAGGCAGGGCACAGACACGCCTCTGAGCTGGCAACCTGTCGTCAGCCCTCTAGGACAACTCCTCCAGCGCCCCACCACCACCTTTGCCAAGCTCCTCTGTGTGCCAGGAAGTGGGAACACAAAAATGACTAGCCAACAGCCCTGCCAGGTCAGAGCTCACAGTCTCTAAGATGGCAGATGGTCTCTAAGAATTCCCTTCCCAGCTGTCCAAATGGAAGAGAGGTTAAAAGTGCTGTCCAATAGGCCTGATTATCAGCAGAGTATATCTGCAAGACCTCCAGGGAGAGGAGAGGTAGACTACAGGGGTAAGGGAACTGTGTAAATGACAGAAGGGAAACTGGATCGTTGTGGGAGAAGAAGCTCAAAGAAGCGTGAGGAAACATCCCCAACCCTGTGCTTATAACAGAGAAGGAAACTGAGGCATAGAGAGGGGCCTAAGTGGCCTGGTCAAGGTCAAAGTGATTAGGTGGTTGTTATCATGTAAGTGCAGAGTTGCTGGGTAGAACAAATGGTTAAGTGCTCAGCTACTAACCAAAAGGTTGGGGGTTCAAACCCACCCAGAGCAGCTCAGAAGACCGGCCCGGTGATCCACTTCTGAAAGGTCACAGCCTTGAAACCCTATGGAGCAGTTCCACTCTGCACCATGAGGTCATCATGAGTCAGAATCAACTCGATGGCAACTGACGACAATAATATCAGGTCAGCCCAGCTCCACCTCCAGTGTCCTTTTCTTTACAAAAGTCACACACATCACCCACACAGAGAAGAATGACCAAGAACAGCTCCCTTCTTTGCCCTATCCCATCCCTACCCTGAACTTTAGCATCATGGATGGCCAAAGCTCCTACAATCTTGCTCTGAGAATCAAAGGCAAGGGTGGGGGCAGTATGCAGAGCTGCTAACAAATACCAAGAAAAAGATTCTATGTGCTCAACTGTACAAACAAGAAAAGCTCAGCCAGGCCCGCCCACCTGTTAGGGAAGAACTAGTAGTGTGTTCAATATGTTTGTGTGTTTCACCAGGGAAATTGACATTGATGGTTTGATATGACACACAGTGGGAAAAAACTGTTTTTTTGGAGACAAACTTAACACCCACCTCTGAGAAGTCCTAGGAGAGTTTCTTAACCACTTAGAGCCCCAGTATCTTCATCTGAGTAGAAGACAGAGTCAGACCCATTTTTCTGGTTTCATATGAGGATTGAACAAAAAGGTACATGACTGCCTAGCCCAGAACCCATAGGTACTCAATAACTGGAGAATAAAATGGTGCACATGTGGACATGACACCTGCATCTAATCGCACTTTAATAGCCATATGACTACGGACAAATAATTCAATGCAATTCACCTTTAAGGAATCATTAGAATTTCCAACTCTCCATCTTTAGGAAGTCTTCCTTCATTGCCACAGCCCTTAGTGTTCTCTCCTCCCTTTAAGGTTCAACAGCACTTAATGTCTTGGCGCAAGCCCCTTGGGTTGTTTATGAGCTTTTTAAAATATACATACACATACATGTTTCTTCCTTAGACCTGTGGGCAACTTAGAGGCAGGAAGCAGATCTGTACTGAACCTCTCTCTTGCATCTTACACCACATACCAAACATAAAGCAAGTGTCCAATTAGCATCCCCTGATGATGATGGTCATAAACAGCTATCATTTGGGTTTCAAATCCAAATGCAGATAAATTGTTTCTTACAACAAATCTAAGACACTGTTTAAATGAGGGGGGCTCAAAATTCAAATGCCTAAAGATGCCAGATGGGCAACTTGGGTAAGACAGTCAGTGTAGAAGAATCAGGAGTGGTAGGGACTGTGGCAAACTGGACCCAACAGCTTTCCCATGTTGCCTTTAAGATCATCTCCCTTAGGGACACCAGGCTCAATTGACACAACATAATACATAAAAATCTTGTTCTACATACAACCTACTTCAGTGAGTAGCAACTGGGGTCTTAAAAGCTTTCACGTGGCCATCTAAGATATAGCAAATGGTCTTCTCTTTTCTGAAACAAAGAGAAGAGTGAAGAAAACCAAGGGTATTTAGAAACAATCAGCCCTAGGATATGACAGACCTCAAGACCAGAAGAACTAGATGGTGCCCGGCTACCAACACCAACCACTCACGAAGGGATCAAAACTGGAGATCCTGGATAGAGTGGGAGGAGAAATGTGGAACGAAATTCAAAAACACAGTAACGACCAGAACTACTGGTCAGATGCAGGCCGGTGGGACCCCCAAGACTATGGCCGTGGGGTATACACTGTGGGCCTGGATAAAACTCACTCCCAAGGGCTGGCTCTCAGCTCTACGGTAGTAAGACTTACATGCAGAACACCCAACCCAGGACGATGCATCAACCTACTCCATGGAGATAGACCCCTTGGAGCAATCAGTCATGAGGCACCAGTGGGGGAACAGTTACCTGGAGGAAAAGCTGGGTAGACAGGAGTGCATAACTAAGAAGGGCCTAGGGAGGGGGAAGTCACTGGGAAGAGAGAGGAGGAGTGTGGGTTAGGGTTGGGATGGTAACCGAGGAGTGAAGCCAAATGCACATGAACTGGTGAATGTAAAACAAATTCTGCTCTGTAAACTTGCACACAAATCACAATTAAAAAAAAAAAAAAAATCACCTCCCTTACTTTGTTGCTGGTAAGATGGAGGAATAGACCAGACAAGCTACACAGAGCCTCTTCAACAAAGAAAAGAGAAACTAATTGACACAGATACAAAAGACAATTCTGGAGCCCTAAGCTTTGAAAGGAAGGTTACAGAAGTAGACTAAATACCAACCAGCAGAAGATCCTGAATGAAAACCATGAACAAGAAGACAAACAGAGCTGCGGACTGTCGACTATCCTGACAGTGAGGCCAGTTTGAATATTTACAAGTGGTGTTAAGACCTAGGCAGTAACCTAGAAATCGGCCCTGCTTGCCAAGAGCTGCATGAACAACTATACTGGTGGCTAATGACTAAAATGGTAAACAGAAAAAGAGACAAATTGAGCTGTGGACTTTCAGCTGCCTGGAGGGTGCAGCCATTTTGAACATCTACAAATGATGAGTCATTTTGAATATTTAAAGCCAAAGCATTTTGATCCCAATGACCTAAGAATAGACAATGCTTCCTGAAGACAGCACCAGCAAGCACACTGGAGGCTATGAATAGAAAGATGCAATATTCTTCTTGGTGAATAGAGATGGAGCCATTCCCCACCTCCACCCACCTTCTAGACTGGCAGGAATTCCATCCCAATCTGTGTGCTCTGACGGAGCCTGGGTGGCCTGCTCCACCCCCCAGATTTTGTTTGTTTTAAAATTACTCTTTTTTTTTTCTTCCTTTTTATTTTTATTCTTTCTTTTTCCCTTCCCAGGTTCTAGTTTGGTTTTTTGTTTTGTTTTTTTTCCTCTTCTTCTTCTTAGTGCCCTATCCCCAGATATTGCAGGCTTGCTTCCTTTTCCTGGTTCCCATGTTTTTTGTTCTTTTGGTTCTTCCAATCTCTTGTTTTTCTTCTAGCATTTTTCTCATGTTTTTCTTTATTATTCTTTTATCTAGTTCTTTTCTCTTATTCTCCTCTCCCCAAACATTGTGGTTTTTTTTTTTTTCCTCTTTATGTATTTACATTTATTTTGTCTTTCTAAAGTATTTCTTTAAATATTTCTTCTCATTCATTTCCTTTCCTTTTTCTTTTTGGTGATTGTTCCTATGTGTTTATGTGCTATGTGATTTTGTCCTCTTGTTTACATTTTTGGTGGTTTTTTGACTGTTGTTTCATCTGAGTGGGAGATAGTAACTGTGCCAAAACAATGCAACTACAGCTGCACCTCCTGAAGCCCTAACTACTGAGTGAGGGCCACTTGCTTCTGCACCAACTGCCAATGATAAACAACAGCCAATACCAGCCCAACTCACCTTTAACCACTCTTCACAAATAGCTAACAGAGATCTGTGCACCCACTCTCATTCTCTATCTCACTCACCAGTGGACAGGGGATGAGTGAATAAATGCTGCCAAATAGCCAACAGAGGAGCACAGTACCCTGCTTACTTAGATATATCCAAACAAAACAAAGGAAAAAAAATCTTAGGCAAATCATACCAACATACAAGCACCAATTAAATATAAATAAAACAATATCACAATGTCTTGGAGACAACAGACCATCACAGTCTACACAAAGAAGAAAAAGCAGTAGAAACGAAGGACGAGGGTACAGACCCAGAAAACACTCCTGAGAAAGAAGCAGCACCGGAAATCCCTGAAAAGGAATTCAAAAGAATTATATTTAGGTACCTTCAATGAACTGTAAGACAGATCAAGGAAAACACTGACAAAATTGAGGAGAACACAGACAAACATATAATAATTTGGGAAGTGAATAGAAGAACAAAAATGACAAAATAAATGAAAAATCAAACATAGTAAATTTATAGATAGAAATCCAGAAGATCAATACTAAAATTTCAGAAATAGGTAACACGTTGAACAGACAGAGTAGAATTGAATCAATGGAAGACAGAACTAGTGAAACTGAAGACAAATACCTCAATACTACTTTGGTAGGGGATCAATCAGAAAAAAGATTTTTT